CACATGCACTTTAATAGAAGAAAAAACCTGAAATTGCCAAAATGTCCGTCATTAGGAAACTGGTAAAATAAATGCCCAAATGTCCATAAAATAGGAGACTATGAATATAATTTAAGAATACATACATAAGCAATACATGTCAGCACAGAAAGCTGTCCCAGAACTTTGTATGTAAAAATACTAGCCATTCGACCATGCAAAAGCGTGATCCTAATTCTATTAAAACATATAGGATATATGTATGTATATTTATGTATAGGAAATTACAAAGGATACACAAGGATTTCCTTCTGGAAAGAGAGAGAATGGTGGAGCAGGTTGAGGAAGCATTTTCTTTTCATCGTATATCCTTCTGGTACTGTTTGGACTTTTTACAGTGATGATGAGCTATTGCACATAATCAGTTATATACAAAGGAAATGACCTACTCGAAACAATGTGACACCAAAGGAATGAAAGAATACACACATACCTACAAGAGTTAGATCTCCTCTGTGTCAAAAACCTGTTTGCTCAGTCCTGTGCTAGTTGGACTGAGTCGAGGGGAGGTAATGGGTTTTGCTCCTGTTCACCAGGGTCTTCACATATCCAAACCAATCCTAAGTCATTGAGTCAAGGATAATAGGTGTAATATGGAGTCATACCCTGGGCATTATTTCTGCTGCTGTAACAAACATCATGGACCCCCAAGGAGGGCCCTGAAACGTAAAGGGTTTTTTTTTTTGTTTTTGTTTTTGTTTTTGTTTTTTTAGGAGAACTGGTGGCCACTTGGACTTTCTGGAGGGATGTCTTCCCTCTGCCTATTCCTCTCCCATCACCCCACCCTCCTCTGCCCCTCACAACCACACTTTTCCCTCCCCTCCACTACCTTCTTCTGTGGCCTGCTGCAGGCAGGAGAAATGCAGATCCAAAACCTTTACCCTTCCTCAGAACTCACCTGCATTGAGCATGATGACCAAGTTAGGCAATGATTCAAGCTGCTCCATATGCCTCCTTGTAAACTCAACAGGGAACCAGGCAACAGACATGGAGTCATGTCTGTCATCTATCTATCTACCCATCATCTGTCGCATATGCATGTATGTTTGCATGTGTGCCTGTCTACACACTTGGACACATGCATACATTTGGACTCCTAGGGAATCTGTGCAGCAGTCCTATAGTCCAGGCAGATGCTGCACTTACTGCTAACATGGGAGGAAGCACAGAGAGGAGGGTGGGAAGAGGGGAAGGGAGGGCACTAGTGTCTGTGGGTGGGCCTGATCCCCAGGCAAGGAAAGAATTTGGCTCATTTGATATATTTTTGTTGGATCAGCTCATTAGTAAATATGACATAAATCTTTGAGCCCAGTCAGTGACAAAGATGGAAATGTTTTTATTTCTTAATATGTTCAGACTCACGAATTTTCTAACAGATAAAGGGCACCTACCCTCAAAATAAGATCTTCACAGTTGGGAAAATGCAGTTGTGTCTTATTTCCTCAGCCACACTCCCAAGCTAAGTTTCCTCTTACACCAGTCTTTTCCAGAACCAAATACCTCTGTTAGGTTGGCCTGGACTCCCCTCCCCCTCCCCGCCCCCCAGCCCTGGCAGGCCCCAAGGCCTGGCCTGAATAGGTCCAGGAGACACATACAGGCCTCACCTGTCAACAGTTTTACTCCATTTTAATGAGTCTCATTTGCCCATACTTGTTTTTAAGTTTCTGGCTCATGCCAGGTTCATTGATTTGGTATTTTGGCTTGATGAGTACTCAGGTTTTAACACACTTAGGACTGTTTTTTCTGCCTCATTCCAGAAGCTCCAGTTTTTGTCTGATTATTCCCCAACCCCGACCAGTTCATTGCTCCCATTTTCTCTTGTATCCCTTATCGTCCCAATACCTACCACCCTTGCCAGCCTGTCTCCTCAGACAGGCACATCAGCTAAATACCAGATGAGTAGCCTTTACGATGATGGAAGGTTGAAGGTTTGATTATTATGTTAATTACTTCAGGTGCAGTGAGGAAGGACAGTCTCTCTGGAATGTTCTGTGAAGAGTTGCAGCTCCCTTTAAAAAATGCAGTTTTTTCTTCTTCCCTCAAAGTCTCATCCTGGAACAAAGGCCCTCTAAGGACTTGTTTTTCATCTAAGACCAAACCACTGACTCTCAAGGGGGTAGAATTGTGAATTATGGAGTGTGAAAAGAAAGACTTTTCGGTAGAAATTAATTTGTAAACATCTTTCTTTCTCTGCGTCTCCTGGGGTTGACCCACACACCATAAACATTTTCAGTCTCAGATTTTGAGTTCAGCAGAGACTTTCACTTTTGTTAATTGTCCCAAGGATTCACACCGTCGTAGTCATTCCCTTTTGCGGGAAGCACACAGGGAAAATGGCACATGCGGGAGTCAAGTATCCCTGAGCAGCCCTGGAGAAGGACAGGCATGCCTGGTTTCTGCCCCTGCCCATGGTGTCACATGCACTGCTGTGCCTTGTTGGCACAGAGCCTGCCTCTGCATGGGCTGCCCCAGGGCTGTTCAGGGAGGAGAGAGCATCCATCAGGCCCTGCTCAATGCCGCCTTGCCCTGCCACTTCTCTTACTCACTGTGTGTCCGTGCATCAGAAGAACACGGGTACTCAGCAATTCCAGTGACACTTCTCATCACTAACCTCCCCATTTGTAAGATACCACTGTTATGTTGATGCCATGCCAGATTTCTGTTTTAAAACCCCCTCTGTGGGATCCCTGGGTGGCGCAGCGGTTTGGCGCCTGCCTTCGGCCCAGGGCGCGATCCTGGAGACCCGGGATCGAATCCCATATCGGGCTCCCGGTGCATGGAACCTGCTTCTCCCTCTGCCTGTGTCTCTGCCTCTCTCTCTCTCTCTCTCTGTGACTATCATAAATAAATAAATTTTAAAAAATAAAAAAAATAAAACCCCCTCTGTACAGTTTCAGATAGACCAGAAATAACTTTTATGGCCTGCAAAATACCTTTCTCTCGGGACATTTTGTTGTGTACTTTGAATACATTTTAACACAGTGAGGTAACATTCATAGACTCACAGAGACATGGGATTAGAAAGCAGTTCCAGAGACATCCCATCCATCACCATGACGCCAGGCAGGCTTCACCCAAACCATCCCAGACATAGGTAAACATCCTGTGTTCACAGGTCATCAGAGAAAGAGACTCCACACCACTCTTGGGTAACCGAGTCCAGTGTTGACTTCCCTTCAACACTGTCATTATACTTGTATCACTGGGAAACGCCCCATACTAGACAGCTGTGACTTTTTTAAAACCCAAACTTGTATATTTTGAACCAGATGTCACAAAACAGCCTGATTGTCAGCACACTGTTTAACTGCTATTGAAAAATGTCATTTCCAACCAAACACGTCTACCCTTGGGGTTGGGCCCAATTGGATAGTTTTCATTTTACAGTAAACGTGTGACCGTCTGTCCACTTCTCTCCCGAATCTGGTCATCATGAAATGGTGACGCTCTGCAGGTGTACCCTTAGGCTTTCCAGCTCCCAGAAATCACAGCCATCAGGTCCCTTCCCCTAAATCATGGTAGCAGGAGCAGAGCTGCCATAAAAAGCAGAGCACTCTGTTGGGTGAAGGTGCTTGCTTAGACGCACACACCGCTTTCTGACACTGGGTTTGTTCCTCTGGTTTCAGAAACAGCAGCTCAAAGGAGCCCTTTCCCCGGCCCTTCCCCTTCTGCGATGCAATACGGTCTCTGAGAGGTCCCGTTTCATTTTGGCAGAGAATGATCCACAGGGCCTTCCGCAGTGAGAAGCAAAATAGCCATCTCCCCTCCTTCCCGCTATTTCCTTTGGCAAAGCGGAAAGTCATCAGGAACCGGATCGGTGGGGAAGGCCCCGACCAAGGGCCGGTATGAACCTCAGACAAGACGCAGCTCGAGGAGATGCGGTGCGCGCAGTCATTGTCTGAGGCAGAGTCTCAAATTGACACCATATGCGCCGGGAGGAGTAATTGCTCCGAGGGGGGAGAAAAGCAACATGTCAGAACATTTTAGCAACACCTAATTCATCTCGGGGTTATAAATAAATCGTAATGCTTTGCTTAAAAAACAAAAGTCGAAAAATACTTTGACCAGATTACTTTTGTGACAGTGCTTCCGGCAGAGGTGAACTTTATTGGGGAGACAACACAAGTAAAGAGAAACAACGTAACAACCTTTTATGGCATATTTTACATGATTTTATTTTTTTGCAGTAAATAAAGTGGTTATAGGGCTCCAAGGAAAAGGGCCCAGATGTTAGAGAGTTGTGTGAAATTTAGGGGAAACAAGCTGTAAAAAGCGCAGTCATAAAACAGGCTGTCAGTGCCACACATCTGGACAATACAGCTGTATGTTCCCAGCGGCTGTCGTCACCCAAAGAAAACTCAATAACCTCATTTCACCCCAATTAGGCTGCATACCAACAGGATCAACATTAAATTGCGCGGGGGTGGTGGGGGGAACCGTTCCTACGGCGCCTCTGTGTCAAGCAGTTTTTATCTTGCATTTGAATTTGGTCACCAAGAAATAAAAGATCGCTAACCTAGGTACTTCCATTATTATAAAACCCTATTTAATTTATAATGTGGTAATAAGTCAAAGTTTGACAGTTGAGACTATTGCCTACGCCAAACAATAGACTTTCTGTAGCACGAAGCTGACCCATCAGTCACGCGAAAGGGAGCCTGGCGTGTCTTTGCTCTACCCCTTTGCTGGCAGTCTGGGTCTAGCACCGTTGCTGCAAGCACTCGCTGCCTCGCTGGGAAAACAAGTTCCTTTTCAAACAACCCAATTTCTACAAAGTCGAAGATAAATGCTCCTCTCTATGGCAGTGTGGCATTTTTCTCTCTTTGGGGCCAGCAGTGAGGCACCCTTTGCAACAAGACAAATATCACAAAACCAAAATGCCATTTCATCTTTTCATCACCGCCAGACTGATCCAACAGTCATAAAACGCCACTTTCCCTATTAACTGTATTTCTTCGTAGGTGATAATGGCAGCAAAGGCAATTATGGACAGCGGAGAGAAACTGACCCTACCACTGATAGGGAAACTCTTGAAATTTCAGCTTCTCCAGATTAAAATCAAGGACCAGCAGCGACGGGAAAATGAAAAGAAGGTACTGTGTGGTGGTGGGTCTTCCAAAGAGAAGGCGGAGCACTTCCTCCCATCATAAACCTTCCACTAAGTGTTACCTGGCACGCTCTGCAAAAGGCCCACCATAGATCCATTGGAGGAATTCTGCTTTCTCAAAGGCCGGACCTATTAAAAATAAATTCCCACGTGCAGAAATAGAACAACAGTCAGAGCATGTGCCTGAGGTTTTTTTCATAGTAGTCTATTTATATGCTAGTAGCAAAGAATGGAATCAAGGAGAGACACAGGCGAAGTAAATGTAATGTGAAAAAACCTGCAAAGTCAGGCTCTAACTATTTAAAATATTTTATCTGATATTCAGTAGGAGTTGCTATTAAACTAGCAGGCTACATCTGTACCTTCGTAATAATCTGAATATTTCAGCAGCAATCCATCACTTCTACTCCCATATCGTACGCCTGATTATTTCTTCACATGTAGACTTTTCATTTGCCGATAGAAATCAATCTGTGTGTCTTCCAAAGATTCATATTTTCATCTGGAAAAAAAAAAACAGTGTAAAATACCTTTAGCAGAATGATGCCAGGTTCAAATCCATTTGTTATTATCATCACTCGAAATAAGAGAGGTTTTTCTTATTTTCCCAATCATGCTGAAACTTTTTTGGAAAGCCAAATGCTTCTGTACGTACATATGTAACATGTGTGTGTCTGTGTGTGTGTGTACACATGTATGTATGAAGTGAATTTACATGTAAGCTGTTTCCTTATGCCCCAAAGTAAAAGAGGCAAAAATCAGTTCGTGGAAGAAGAGAAAAGGGAAAATGTTCCAGTAATATCTTCCTCACCTTCGCACAACCCTCAAATCTAGGTTTCCTTTTGAGTTGGACTCTTGACAGGATAATTGTAGGACAAAATAATAATGCCACCTTATATTTGCAGTAGAGGACTTTATGTTTTTCAAAGAGATTCCCCACGTAGCATCTTATTAGGGTGGCATGTATTGTTCCCGGGAAAATTCTACTCATAAGAACACAAATGATGGTCTAGTTTTCCAACTATCGAAGCTCTTTTCATCATATGCAGGAGATTTGTACCTTAAGAAATACTCGGGGACATTAAGACTTGGCAGAAGAAAAATTGGAAAATGTGAAACTAGTATAGAAATATCTTTTCTTGCCTTTTAAAATTCCGACGTCACATGGGAATCTGAATTACAAAAAGTAGACTGTGAGTCCTGTGAAAAATCTCTTCGCCTTCTGTTTGCTCTGTGCTTTCCCACTCCACCTACAAATATACATGCCACAGAGTATCAGTTTACTTGTTTGCCACCTATTTTAAGTCAGCGATTGTTTATAATTGGAGTAAGTTTTAGATTTCAGTTCGCAAATGTTAAATTCCAGTACATGGAATATGCTGGCAGCTCAGGAGAAATTTTTAAAGCTAGCGACAATATAAAAATATTTCTGCAGTGATTTTGCTCGGCGTTTCTTTGAAATGTGAACTATAATAATACAGGTATGAGATTCTGAAGATATGGAAATCATCCTAGTTTATTTTTTGAAAATTTAAAAGTCCAAAGGAATTGGGGCTTGAATTTTAGGGGTGTGTGTAAGTGTGTGTGTACACGCACATATATATAAATGTAATAGATGCCTAAGAGAGCTCTGAGCAATCAGGAGCCAACAATTATATAGTCTGATTCAATGTCTTCCTTAGATTGGGTTCCCAAAACACCAGCCCCAAATCTCTCAGTTGCAGCCATACGAGTAAGTGCTAAATAAATTGATGAAAACTGATTGGAAGGGAGTACTCTCCAGAAAACACTCTTGGTAAAGGCAAGATGAAGAGAGTTGTTGGAGGGATGATATAATCTCTGTTCATTTCAACAACAACACCCAACCAGGCAGTTAGAACAACTGAGGTTAATGCTTGTCAGCCGGTGAGTTTGGCAGAAAGTAAAACAAGTACAAAGTATGGAAAACTGACCCGTGCTGTGGATTAGAAAATGTGAAAAAAAGAAAAGAGGACTTGACCCAGTTTCTTCCTCTTTCCTGAACCCAGAATGGGATCCTGAGATTCCTACAAGGGGAGTGACTATCTCTTCAGCTTTTTAACAGTAACCTGACATATATGGAGAGGTTTCCTTTCAAATGCTAATTATGTTGCTTACAACCTTGCATCCTGAATTGTGTTTTGTACCTCCTATGTTGAATTTTCAGAGTTGTATTTTTTAAAAATGAATGCTTAAAAATTATCCATAGCAGGTAATTACCCAAAATACTGGGCAGAAGATGTGGACAAAATTAACTAATATTTTTAGGTCCCTGTCCCTTTACCCCCTGTGAAACAAATAGATCATTATATAAACATACAATCCTGTTTTAATCAACCAAAATTCTTCTTAAAAATAAGTGGTGAAAAAGAAAAGTAAGTGGTGAATAATATAGTTCCAATTGCCAAGTACAGTAAAAATCTCATCATTTTAGATTCCATTGATTTTAATAATCTGTAGCGCTTTAGTGTAGTCTATGCTTACCATTTCATTTGTTTTGTCCATGAAGAACGTTTGCTGGCTAATTAACATTATAAAAAATAATATGGGAGAAGATATTTTTTTAGAGGAATAGTTTCGAAGGTTTTTAGCACATGAATTTCTGAAAGGCAAATGCCTGCCTCTAACTGCAATTAAATTGAAAAACTTTTAAATCTCTGATCTATTTGGGAACTCCTTATTGGTTACCTCCAAATATATGTATCATGAAGGAAACATATTGTATTGCTATAAATATACTTTAGAATTTCAGAAATTCTGAATAACTCTCTGATAAGGTTGATCCCAAATTAAGATTTTGTTATATCTTAAAATCTGAATGCGTGTGTTTTCTTTAGAAATGACTTTTCCTTGCACATATTATTATCTCAACATTTACTCTTCATTTTTAGTTCTATCATTGTCAGTCTGTTGTTAATTATTATTATTTTTTAAATTTTATGTATTTATTCATGAGATGTCTTAGTATAATGCCAGAGAGTCAATACTGACTATTTATTCTGTCTATGCCCGGAGCCTGACTCGATCCCGGGTCTCCAGTATCACGCCCAGGGCTGAAGGTGGCGCTAAACCGCTGAGCCACCTGGGCTGCCCTGTTGTTAATTATTAACTTAAATATTTATTGAAACAAGTATTTAGAGTAAGGACATACCTGGCACACATATTTTCATAATGTTCATTATAATTTTAAAATAAATTATTGGTTTCTATTCTGATCCATTTTTGATGTAATCATTATCTGAATATTACAGCATTGTTCACATTTTTACTTCTGTTTCACTTCAAATTCCGTGTTGATTATAAACATTTATTTAAAACCAAAACACTTTACTGTGTATATATTTAAAATACATTGAGAATTCAGCTAAAAGGAAACAATCATCCAAAAAAGATAAAAAATGGCTATAATACAAAAAAATTAACCATTTCAATAATCAGCCAAACTAAATCTAGTCTTCCTGTGCCCCTGAGTACATTTCAGAAAATTTGCATAGGTTTTAGGAAGAGATCCAGATATATTCTCCCTTGCTCTTAATTTGTGAATTCAAATAACCAGTCCATATTTTCTTGGCTATTTTAAGCCTATCTTTTATGTAAAAGCAGAACAGTTCTGTCTCTTTCTGGCTTATATATTTAGTATGTGTTGCTTTATTTTCCAAAGCATTAGAATTGGAGAGAGGGAAATCTGCAGTCAGAACTACGCTGAATCGGTAAACTTTTCTTCAAACAACCCCAAGTTAAAAGCACCTAAATGTGATAAGGCATCATGATGAAGCCACAAACAGCACAGAGCCTGCTCCATAGGAGGGAGGAAGAAAAATTAGGGTAACTTTCACAGACGTTTTACAGCTTACTTCAGTTGAAACCCCAAAATACTGGAAACCAGCCAATGTAATGCCATTTGTGTGTGTGTTTTGTTTTAAAAGAAAGGCCATAGGGACATACCAGGAAATTACAGGCTGGTTAGTTTTGATTCAGTTGTGGTTAAAATCTTCAGAAACTATTTTGAGAAATCAAACAGAGGAAGAGCAGGAACTCAGTTTAGAGGGACCCGTGTGGTTTCAGGAAAGGAATAACTTGCCTCACTAACTAGCTGGAATTCTTTGAAGCTGGATTATCAAAATGAGGATACTACCAACAAAACCATTGGATCTAAAGAGCTACAAAATTCAGCGATTCAGGGTAAATAATAAATGACTCCCTGGCCAACTGATCTGTAGAACAGAAGCATTTTCCTAATTGGGATGCTTTTAGTTAATGAGAATTTTTACAGACTTTAGGAAACAAATGTAAAGAAACACGCATATTTAAAATAGAGTGGCATTTTAAATTACAAATAGCTGTGGTTACAACAGCTAAGGATAATATTTTTTGCTACCGTATTGACTCTCTGACATTATACTAAGATCTTTACACATGTTAGATCATTTAATCTTTTAAATGACTTTATGAGGTACAGAGTATTTTTCTTGATTTGCAGATGGGGAAACTAAAGGTGTAAAAAGTTAAGTAACTTTCCCAAGGTTATGTAGCTACTCAGAGGTGTAGCTGGGAGTCAGATCCAAAATTGTCAGACACTAAAGATCATGTTCCTAGCCACTGTACAGACGCTTTCTGAATGTGCCTCAATAATTATGCAGAATGGCACTCTTGGCTCGCAATCAATAGAGTGCTTGCCCAGAGATGTTTCTCTGTAGGAGCCATGGTTGAGCTCAGTAATCTACCGTCAGCCATCTGGTCCCACTAATTACACTGCATACAACATCCTGAGGTAAAGTGTGGGGACAAGTCAAGGAAAGGAACAAAGCTTTCCAAAGAAGAGTCCACAGAGCTAAGCAACCACCAGTTCCCAGGGGAATTCTGGCTTCATTTCTGGTCCTGTCCTCCTGCCTAGAAATCACCAGGTCTTTGGGGATATCTCTCTCTTAGAACTAGACTTCCCTGAGATTATTCTGAACATCCTCACCC